GAGAGAGAGAGAGAGAGAGAGAGAGAGAGAGAGAGAGAGAGAGAGATTTCGAAAATCAAGGAAAGAAAAAGCATCTTTAATGCTAAAGAAAACAAGGACAGCTTCATTCCACAGTGCATCATCAGGTCAGAGGACATCCTCATTTGAAGAGCAGCTGAGGGTGGCCTGCTCTTACAGTTTAAGCTTTTCTTCCATCGGAGAATATGGAACTGAAAAGCAGTGCTGACAGGGAAATACTGTCAAGGAGATTGCTGCTGTTCTATCTGTGCAGCACTTCTGAAATTCAAGTCACATCTATATGTATTACATAATTTTGCCTAATTGGGAAAGCCACGGTTTAGATAGACCTGTCATCCATTTATTTGTTCCACATTTATTATCTACTATGTGTTTGGTACTGTTCTGGCAATAATACAAAAATGATTAAAACAGGTAAAATACTTGGTCTTTGCAGAGACAGACAAGAAGTTGTAAATGAATCTAAGAAATAAATCAGATCAGACAGTGGAAGCCATGAGAATAGTAAGCAATGTGATGGGGATGGAGGGGCTAGACCCTTAAAGGGAGATGTCTGGGAAAGTCTGTCTAAGGAGGCTACATTTGAACTTGATGTGAAGTACAAGCCAGCTAAAGGAAGGCCTAAGGAGAGAGAATTGAAAACAGGAGGAACCCTAAAGTGACTCCCAGAGAAGGCAAATAACTTGCCCAAGATTCAATCAACCACATGGCAGCAGATGGAGAGCAAGCTGCCTTACTCTAGGATTACCAAGTTTGTGTTATTTCAGGTACTCTGGACTTCTACAATGTCAGGGTTTTTAATTAGGTATTTGAGGGAAAGATTTCACCTATCCTGACTTGGAATAAATGCTAGGATGTATCATCACTGATCAAAGTTATTGAAGGTTTTACTCACATGGTTTTACTGAGGATATTAGTGCTAAACATTGATCATCACCAAAGATTTTAAGGTCTTTATAGAAGGCTTTCATTTTTATTGAATATCAACAGTATTTTCCTTTATTTTAAAATTTGCTTTTGTTTTAATTAAGTAAAAATTTGTGCTGGAGTGTAAAATATAACAGTAGGCAAATGCCTGTAATGATTTCCCAAGGAATGTAGAATGCGGCTATACTCACAACAATGGAAATCCGCCTGGTAGGCCTAGGCAGTCTATCTTTTTACACTTCCATCCCCTCTATAAATGTATTTCTATTCTTCCATTTGCTGTCTAATGGCATCATGAGGTAAACAGAGCAGTAACAAGTTAAATATATTGTAAATAGATCCTTAAAGTTGATTTTAAATAATGGATACAATATGTTTTTATTAGAACAGCTCAGTTTTTTAAAAATCAGAATTATTTCATTTCATTTCAAATAATAAAGTCCTTTGGGTTCAATATTAGCCATGGAAAAAAATGACCATGCAACTATATGTTGTTTGTTTTAATTATCCAGTTTCTGAGCATTTCTCATTTCCTCTGCTTTTTCTTCCTCGAACTGAAGGATCTGAAACTCGAACCTCTGGAAGAAGAAGTTATTGGAGGGAATACTAAACCTGTAAGTGTATTTAATGTCAAAATTCCAGAGATACACACTTCAAAAACATGACTTAATTTTTTCAGAAAGTAGTATCTCAACAAAACGTTGAAAAGTTAAGTAATGCATGGACATTTCCTATTTCATTTTGCTTTTAGATTTACCTCAATATTTATTGTCATATGTATCATGTCTTGCTTTCAGCAACAAAATTTTCATGACATACAAAAAAGCCAGATAAAGACATCACGAAAGAAAATTACTAATCATCACACACAGAAATAATGTATGTGTACAGATTTTAAAAGTATCATAAATTTGACAGTTTTCCCATTAAGCTCCTTGCTCTTCAAAGATCTTATCCAGGAGACACATGCCATTTTCCTTGGCTAGCTTGGGATTGTGGAGATCTAATACCTCGTTCACATTAGGCACTAGTGCTTTCTGAATGTACTTGTACCAGTGCAAAATGAAACTTTTATGTGCATATGAGAAAATGAGCTACTGAATAATCGAGCATACTGGTAGAGAAGGGTACCGTGCAAATTTTATAATGAATGCATTTTTAAACAACCCTAGGTTAAGCATTGTATAAACCTGGGCTGAAACCCAGCCCTGTCTGTTACTACATCTCTAGCATTCAGATATAAATTAGGGATTATTAATGCTCTGAAGTAATTTTTCAAGTAGTAAGTTGATAGTTGGAGAAAAGAGAACATCACTTTTCACAGGGAAAAGATGTCCATCTAGAAAAATGACAGTGTATAGAAATCGAAGGAAAATGGATGGTTAGCCTAAAGGTAGACCAAATTGCAATAAAGTGAATAAAGTAATTGAAAAGCAACACACACAATCCTTTATTATCTTATTTAATGTATCTTTGACACAAATATTTACAGTGTGGTCTGTTTGGGACATTACATGTTTGAATTTATATTTACTGGGAAGCTCTATTATAAAGTTTTGGGTACTAAGAGAAAAATCATTATTTTCTTAATACTTTAAATGTATTATTTTTTTTTATAAACATTTAAGGGTCAATCAGGAAACACAGATAGGTGACACCTTTTACCTCTATGCCATGAGAAGATAGTAGGTTTATTTAAACACAGCAAATACTATTACATTTATTTTCTTAGCATTGAACAGTTACATCATGGTCCAGTTACATCTGAGTCCAGAATATGATTTCTTTCTTTAAAACCATTTTCTACCCCAAAGACCGAAAGAAAGTAACATTTATTAAATACCTATTTTGAAGACAATCTTTATAAAACTATGTAGTCTTCCTCAAAATTATGTTATATAAATGCCACTATATTAATTTTGTGTATCAGAAGACTTGAGAAAAATCAAATAAATCTCTTCACGGTCTATAGCTGAAAGAGCAAAACTAGTTGTTTTGAATTTATATCTTTTTCCCTTGCAAAAGAAGGAAAGAAAGGACAAGATAGATATCTGTAGAGACAGGTAAAGAACACTTAACAATTGTCCAGTGCTCTAGCGTTCTCAGAGCAACCTCAAATCTCTTCTGGAATGAATAAATACATGAAATTTATTAAAGAAAATTTAATACTAGTCATGGGCTAAAAGCAAAAGCATCTTTTTTAAAAAATTTGTTTTTATTGAATTATGGTGTATTTCATACAGAACATCTCAAACAATCTTAATCATCTTTATAGCCCCATCCCCACTGGCAACCTCCCATAGGCCCCCCACGAGAGCCTATATACTTTGTTATCCCTGTTTAAGGCCCACTGTGTCAAGTCAGTGTCCACAGAAGTTCCCTAGTATAAGTCCATCCGCTGAGGCCTAGTCAGCCTATCTAGAGTCCCTTGTTTTAGGAAGATCAGTTTTTCTTCACCTAGGAGCAATCAGTTGCCAGTATTTCTTCATATAAGATTGGGGGTGGTCTGCTGTTCATTTTCCCAGTTCTTTGCTGGGTTTCTGTCTGCCTGAGTTTGCATGGGATTTGTGTATGCTGATGCCATTACCATAGAATCATATGAGCTTGTAGGACTCCGTTTCCATATGGTCATGTACCTCCTCCCTGGCTCTTACAATTTTTCTGCCTGCTCTTCTGCAATGCTCCCTGAGCCTTGGGTGGGTGAAGTTTAATAAAGGAGTCCTGTCCAAAGATCAGCATTCAGCAGACTCTTGATCTCTACGCTTTGGCCATTTGTGACCTTTTGTGTTCTTGGCCCTTCACTGCATGAGGGAGCTTCATTAATGAGAACTGAGAGATTCATTAGTGTCCTCTTCTTTAACCCTGTTCTATATTCCATGAGCCTTAGGTATAGAGGTTTCATTGTAGTTGTGTCACTTAGGCCTGGGCAATTCATAGGCAATATCCATGTGTGACCAGTTGTGGTACTTGGTAATAGTCACCGACTGGTGCAAAATCAGCTTATTTGATGAATGGTGACTGGGATATTTTTCTGTAAATATAAGGATAGATATTTTGCGCATAGCAAAAATCCTGTTAGTCTAGAGATGGGACAATCTTGGGGTTTTCTCTAAGATCTATGACCACTCCAGTGAAGTGTATTTGGTTATGTTTACAGTAAAATACTTGAGTTTCTTCCCATTGAGTGGGCTTTTAGTCCAGTTAGGTAGCTGTTGATTGCCCCCAAGATAAAAGTGCCACTGCTGCACCAATGTCATATGCTGTACTGGCCACTGATATGGTTATTTAGTCTTGAAGCTTATGTTGGACCATTGATTGATGTTTTCCCTTGGCACCTTCATAGGGCTCATAGCAAAAGCATCTTTTGTTCCTTTGCCCTATTAAAAAAAACAAAACTGAAGTGACCCTCTAGGTACCAGGCCTGGTGAAATGGCCTAGAGACAAATTGGTGATTATTATATGTTAGAAAACAGACTGAAAGGAAATGTAGGTAATTAAGCTGGAATCTGAGTAAATGAGATAAAGAATATTATAGGAAAGTGTACAGTTTCATAACAAGGGGACCCATCTAATACAGAGAAACAGAGAATGCTTCCAAAATTATATACTTGACAAACCCAGAAGGAATAGGCAGGGTTTTAAAAAATTAGCCAGGCATAAGCATGAGTGCCTTTAATCCCAGGAGGATTGGGGTTCGATGGAAATATTCAAATGTTCTATATATGAATTATATGCAACATATTTTGAAAAACATCAGCCTTCAGGATTTGAAATTGTATTCATGTTATAATAAAACAGGAAATAAACGTACATAGGGATATACCAGGATCTAAAGTTAAGACCATGACTTTATAACTTGTTGAAATTTTGGAAATAATTTATGTTCTTGTTATAAGTAGTAGGTAGCAAGTGGAATGTGAATTTTGAAAGTAAATGTTTTAACCAGAACACACATCCCAGGTCTGCCCAAGTGTGCTGACCAGTCAAATCTTTTTTGGTGGTTCTATGTGTGCCTTGTATGGTATGTCTTACCAAAAGACTATTAAATAATAAGACCACCTTCAAGATTTTTACTGCATTCAAGAGGAATATTTTTAAAGCTGTGCTAATTTTTATGTAATATAAAAAAGCTTGTGGTAAATCATCAAATGATAAAAGCAAATACTGAAGTAGTGTATTCTGTGATCACGATTCCATTGGTAACAGCATTTGTGTAGTTTTTTCTCTTTGTGTTTTTCTGAACTTTTAATTTTTATGATAACATACTATATTAGCAGTAAGAGTGAAAAACTCTATGTTCCTTTTCATTTTTTAGTTTAATTTAAAAATGCTTTCTTTATTCTTTGAGAATCTCATACTATGTATTTTGATAATATTCAACCTCCCACCCATCTCTGCATCCCTACTCTACTACATCCCCCCAACTTAATGTCATCTTTTATTATTCTGTTAAAGGCCTATCAGGTCTAATTAGTGTTTGGGGGTGTAGGTTCATCCCCTGGAACCTGGTCAACCTACCTGGCATCACACCCTAAAGAAAACTGACTCTCCCTCTCCTAGCAACTATTAGTTGCCAATAGTTCCTCACCTAGAGCTGGGCTTTCTTGCCCACCTCCCCTGTTATTGCTCAAATTTTGTCTGGCTTGGACTTATGCAGATCTTAGGCATGCTGTCACAAGTGCTGCGAGTTCATATGTGCATTTGCCCTGTTGAGTCTGAAAAATACAGTTTACTTGCATTCATCCACCACCTCCTGCTCTTACAATCTTACAGTCCCTCTTCTTCAAAGATCCTTGAGCCTTTGGAGGAGAGGGTGTGATATAGGTGTCCTATTGAAGGTCACTCTTCAGTCTCCTATTCACTGCATGTTGGACAATTGTGGGTCTCTAAGTTAACTGCCATCTGCTGCAAGAAGCTTCTCTGGCAAAAGAAACTTCTGTGGTAAAAATGGAGAGATGCACTCATCTATGAGTATAATACTAGGTTGTCAAAAGTCAATTTAATGTTATATCCATTTAGCAGAATAATAGTAGCAAGTTCTCCCTTATAGCCTATGATCTTTCTAGTCACAGGTTCTTGATAATAGTTTCAGGTATGAGCTCTATCTTGGGAAGTAGGCCTTAAGTCCTATAAGAAAGTAGTTGGTTATTCCTATAACATTCCTGCCACTATTGCACCAGTGGGCATATCTTGCCAGACCATTCATTATTGTAGCTTACAGGATTCTGATGATGTCTTTTCTCTTCCAGTAGCATGCATAGCACCTTCTAGCACTATGAAAGCTAACCAGTAGAGATGACGCTTTGAGGACAGTACCAGCTTGATATTTCCATGTTCACTGTGTGACTCACAGTTGTAGTGTCTTTAGCAAAGGGGTTTTACCATCAAGTTCTGGTAAGTAACCAAAAGCAATAGCAATAGCCAGTATTGTTTGGCCAGGGACTCTCCTGGCCAACAACTCTAAAACAGGGAGTCCATTCCTGGCATTAGACTTTTTATTTCCTAGTCTGTGGTGTCTGGTGAGGCTATTGCCCCCTGTCCTAGAACAATACCGTTTAAATTCTTTTTATATTGTAAATGTACATATTTTTAGACATTTCTATAGTAGTAGGTT